AACAGCCTTGGGATTTGTAACAATTTTCTATTTAGGTTGGTCTAAAATATCCGCCATTTTTAAAAATTTTTTTTGCGATTTATGACAAATTATTGAGCTAATTGACGCTCAAAAATGTAGCATTTTTCCGTTGCGTTATTATTTATTGACTCTCAAAGTTTCATTACTGTACACCCATTTTTTGGCATTTTTTCTCCGTTTTTATGGAAAGTTACAAAACTTCAGAACAAATGCAGAAAAATGGGTGTATGGTAATGAAACTTTGGAAATCAATAAATACAACGGAAAATGAAAAATGCTACATTTTTGAGCGTCAATCATATCAATAATTTGTCATAAATCGAAAAAAAAAGAAAAAAAATGGTGGATATTTCTCTCAAGCATCCATGGACCACACAGCTATTAGTTTATATTCCTATTAAGAAAAATGATGGAATTGACATTATCGAGTACACCGAAAAATCTTTGTCCATGAGCCATTAATCTCGACAACAAACGAACAGTAATTTCAAAAGGGCGGTATAGAAAATTTACTTCTGACTAATTTTTTTTTATTGGGAATATGAACAAAACATTTCCGATTTTGGAATTTTTTTTTTTCGTGAAAAAATTATGATTTTGATTATTAAAAATTGACGTTAACAAATAACGCTAAAAATCCGAAAGAATCATAGTTATTCTCAATGGTCTATATTTTTTGTTAGATTTTACTCAATTCAATCAAAAATTAATTCAGTTGTCATATATATCTGAAAAACTGTGTTTTTTTAATGTACTTGCAAATTGGATCTGAAAATATGCAAATTACATGGAAAAGTCAAAAGAAGGAAAATAAAGAAAATAAAATAACGAAAAATCAGATTTTTTTTCATCCCGATCCGATAACTGGATCGTTAATTAGACTCAGATTAGACTAGAGTTAGCAAAGTTTAGTTGAAAAATGAAAAAAATGAAAAAGAGGTGAAAAAACGACAAATTATTTTTAAAAATGTTCTTCTCGGGAGGCATTCAAACAACAGATGTCATTTGACTGGAGTATTATACCGTCATGATTAAGGTCAAACGATTCAGGGACTGTTCAAGGGAATATTTTTGTCAATCAGATCAATAATTGGTCATGAATCGCCAAAAAATTAAAACATGGCAAATAGGGGTCGAAAATCCTCAGAATTGAAATTTGAAGATGATGTCTGATTCCTAGATTTTTATTGAAAACGCCTCAGGGTGGTCTAAATTATTAAAAAAAAATCAAGTTGTATATGGGGCATTCTCTGTCAATCCAGTCAGCCATATTTTTTAAGGTCTCCGAACATTCGAAAAAAAATCAATTTAGGCGGTCTAAGGCCCGAAAAAAATCTTGAAAATCATATTTTCAAATATTTGGACACTTTTTGATTTTTTGAGAAAAATTGTAAAATTGTGATTTGAAGCAAAGTTTCGTAGATAGGAATGAGCTTGGGGACACGAGTGAGTTTCGATGAAAATAATCATGCGGGTTTTTTTAATTCCTCATCACCACTAAAATTCCAGCACAATCCTCGATATCGTTCGAGTTCACACGAATTTTGTCGAATTTTCTTATTGAAAAGTTACTGACAAAGATAATTATTTTCCGATATTATGAGATTGTTATTTCTGACAAAAATTTTATTCTTTCTCGGAAACTGTTGAATCAAAAAATTTACAAAAAATTGTTTGAACTTATATACTATCCAGCATTGAGCTGAACCTTTAATATTGATGAGAAATTAAGAAAAAAATCCCAACTTGATTTGTTCTCTTTGAAACTTACGCGCGTCCCACTTTCATTTTCATCTATAAAACTTCGGTTCAAATCACGATTTCACCTTAATTTTTTTTAAGAAAAAAAAAAGTGTCCAACCACTTGAAAATACGACGTCTGGGACTATTTGGCGGTTTTAAGCGCCTAAATTGTTTTTTTTCCTCTAATAAAAAAATTAGTGGAAATATTGACCTAAAAACCAAAAAATTTGATTTCAAACATTTTCTTCCCCGACGACAACTTAATGAGATACATGATTAAAAAAAAAATTCGTAGACCTCTATCGCCAGTATCGAAGTTTTGAAAAAAATATAATTTTTTCATAATTTTCGGAAACCTTAAAAGAATGGCTGGGTGGATTGACAGAGAATGCCCCATATGTCAATTTTCTATGTCTGTATGTGTGTGTGAGATCAAATAAAGAACAAAACAAAAAACAAGATAATACGAAAAAAGCCACATTTGAATTTGAATGAGTATTATAAGCCGCTGAACTTCAATCAATCAACCGTCTCATTGATTAGAAAATAACCATATCAAGGAAAAATCCAGTTCAGAAGCATATTGCCAATATCGGCGGAACTAAAATTAAAATAATAAACAAAAAGGAAGGTGATAGCTCACTTGTTTCTCGCGAAATCGTGAATTGTCGATTATACAGAAAAATACACCAAAGACTAAAAATGGAGAGCTGGAGAAGATCTCTCATAAAAATTCCTGGGAAAATGTCGGAAAATATAATATGAATCATCAAATAATGGGAAATGAATAGTGAAATACAAATTTTCAGTTTTTTATGCAAATCACACATTGCCCATGTGGTCTACCGTAACATATTGCCACAATGAATACAAGTTCCAGAGAAATACAAGAGATAAAAAATGTTTATCGGACTGAAAACTGGAGTTTATTTGCACTCGTTTAATTAAGAAATTTGAAGACAATCAGTACTGTTCTCTGCGTGCATTAAATGATTGTATAAACGCAAAAAGCTTATGTAAATATTTATTTACAACTCAGAATTTTCAGTAATATCTATTAGTCATTTAAAAATTCACAGGGTCGATCTGCGTGCAACGAGATAAGTATCTGCGGGAGGGATATTAATTAGGGACAACTGAGACGTGCACTAGCGTTCCTAGGCAATATCCAAATTATGTTTCGTTATTAGAGCTTAGGGATGAATTGCTACGAAAGAGGATCAATAGCTTCCCTGAGGGACGTGTAGAAAACTAACATAATGATAGATGTCTACAACATCCTATGTGTGCGTCAATTTGGGCCGAGTGGGACGTCCCCACATGTGTCATAAGGGAACGTACGCACGACGAATAATATCATACATCGGGGAGTAAATTGATATGAGTCGAACTTAGCTGCCCTCATCAGGGTTGTGAAGAAAGATAACGTAATGAAAGATATTGGCAATCTTCTATAGATGTGCCAATTTTGCTGAAGTGGACCGTCCATTTACCGTTCAAACGAAATGGTCCAATGCCGTTTCATCAGTAATATATGCGAGACGATGTTACATGATACGAGATCAGTAGCTTCGGCGGGTAACGCGAAGAAAGGTATCGTAATGATAGATGTCGGAAATCTCCCATGCGTGGGTCAGTTTGGCCAATTTGGGACGTGCCCTATCCGTCAGAACGGGACCTACACGCGACGATTAATATCAAATATCCCGAATTGAATTCACAGCAGATGAAATAAGTCGCTCTGGTGGGGGTGACGGACAAAGGCGACGTAATGAAAAATGTTTAATACATCCTGTACATATGCCAATTTGGACCAAGTGGGATGTCCACTTAGAGTCCAAATGAAATTGTCCAATGCCGTTCCGTCAAAAATATCTGTGAAACGGAGTTATATGAGATGAAATCAGTAGGCCCCGTTGCGGATGTAAACCGAGGTGGTGAAACGCGATATGTCGACAACCTCCTGCGCATGTCCCGGATTGGCCCAAATGGGACGTGCATTAACCGTTGGAACGAACATTCTAAATCTCTTCCGTTAAAAAAGATGTGAGACCGATTTATAGGAGACAACATGAGTATCTCCCGGAGGTGATCAAACAACAGAGGTCGTAATAAAATATTCCACTAATGTCCTAGGCGTGTGTCGATTTCAGCCAATCGGGACGTGTTCTAATCGTTCTTAAGGAACCTTCTAATTGTGTTTTGCTATAAATATGTGGGGGAGGATTCGGATGAAACGACACCGGGAGCTCCCATGGAAAATGAAAATAGAGGTGCCATGATCGGACGTGTGAGAAATGCGTCGGATACTAATCACCGGGAAGATCTACCAAAACGTATGATCACTCACATTTCTTGAACGTTCAAATGTGAAACATTCCGGTATCAAGCAATTCAGAAACAGGGATAAAACGTGTTTCGGAAATCCAATCCAAAACATTCTTTCCTCTTCCACCTAAATCTATCCCTATTCCAATTCCCAAAAGTTCATTCCTCAAGAACATTCCTCGTAGATACTCCGATCATTTCAACGATACGTACTGATGAGGACGTTCAACGAATTAGTGCCCATACGTGTCTTTGCTTATTGGGATATTAGTGAAGAAAAATAGTTGAATCGCGATGGCGACATGGGAGAAAGATTCTTCAACAAAGATATGAAGGAAGGTTTCGGCGAGAGTTAAACCAAAAAAAACCGATGCAAAGCCGGAATTCGGGAAAGGGTTGAGCAGTTCACCAAAATAATCTCTGACATAGTGCGCGTGGGTAGAGTCAAAATGAAAACTGTATTTTTTCGTTAAAATACAGAACTCAATCAAAAAATCTTTACAGCAAAATAATCACTGTCAACTACTAATTGTGTCGAGACACGGTAGAGATTTTTCACAGTTGAGATGGTCACAAATATAATAGATTTAATCGCGGAGAGAGAGTTGCACGATGCACACTTGTCACGAGGCGATTAGAAAAGAAGGCGGAAGTGACGAGATGGGACAAGTGTCGCGGCAGGTGTCGCCGGTCCCAATTAATTGGACACGGTCGGGAACCCAGGTCCGTGTCCAGGAGGTGCTGCCGCTCGTGGTCAGCGAACCAACCTGCCGTGACGTGGGGCTGAAGCCTCAACATTCTCCCCCCGTCAGCAACTTGTTGGTGACCAGGTTCTCGAGGAAGCCATGATAGAGCCTGAAACACTAAACAGAAAAGATCAACAACGTCAACAGAGACCAGCTTCAAAATCAGCTGGTAGAGATTGGCAACGAAACCAGCTTGGAGATCGGCTGAATCAATGTCGTCGTTGCTGTCCTGATGGTCACAACTCTGGAGAGACCATGCTTCCCAGGGTGTTGAGCTGTGACCCGAGCTAGAGGCCACTTCGCTGGCGGGAACCTCTCATCGGAGAGCACAAACACAGAGCCGATGCGAATATCGTTGGACGGATGATGCCACTTGGAGATGGACTGAAGCTGCTGCAGGTATCCTGTAGACCACTGCTTCCAGAAATACTGCAGCCTCTGCTGAATCAGTTGCCATCTTGAGAGCCGTCCAACGTTGAGATGGTCCAGTGAAGATTCCGGTAGAGCTATTGGAGCTTCTCCAATCAAAAAATGCCCCGGGGTGAGACACAACACGTCGTCGGGGTCTTCAGAGAGAGCCTGTAGAGGTCTGGAGTTGAGCACAGCTTCAATCTGGGTAAGCAGCGTAGAGAGTTCCTCGAACGTCAGTGCAGTATCCCGAATCGTTCGAGAGAGATGATACTTCACTGATTTTACCGCTACTTCCCATTTTCTTCCAAAATGAGGGGCCCCAGGTGGATTGAAAGACCACCGAGTACCGTCTTGCAGGCAAACTGCTGAGAGATGCTGGAACTCCTTTGATCCAGCAGAGAACAACCTCTTATGCTCCTTGTCTGGACCAACGAAATTCGTTCCACAATCACTAAAGAGGTTCCTGCAATGACCTCGACGACTCACGAATCTCCGATAGGCAGCGATGAACTCATCAGCAGAGTAGTCGATGGCAGCTTCCAGATGAAGTGCTGACATGGCCATGGAAACGAAGATCACTAACCAACCCTTTTGGGTTTTATGACCACGCCCCTTCCACGTCTTGATGGACACTGGTCCAGCGTAATCTACACCAGTGTTAGAGAAGGCACGTCCTGGAAACAGACGTGCCGGTGGAAGCTGCCCCATCAGTTGCTGAGCACGTACTCCACGTTGGCGGGCACATTCCACGCACTTGAGAATGAAGGATCTTAATGGCGCTCTTCCTCCAATAATCCAGTAAGACCTGCTGAGATGCGTCAACGTGAGTTGAGTTCCACCATGCAACGTTCGCTGATGAGAGTCCGTAATGAGAAGTTCAGTCAGCTCGGAATCTTTAGGGACGATCGCTTGTTGTTTACTCTCTGGGTGCAGGTTAGAGAACCTCAATCTGCCGCCCACTCGGAGAACACCTTGATGGTCTATAAAGGCAGTCAGTTTGGTCAACGGATGAGACCTCCCAAGTTGGTGACCACGATAAATAATGCTGCACTCCGACTGCAGATAATGAGCCTGAGTAGCTCTGACCTAATACAGCCTAGCTGCCTCGATGCCATCAGGACTGAGTGGATCCACGAGAGTTTCACCTGGTTTCCTCCTCATCCCAGCAACAACACGTTGACAAATTGCTGTCATACGCAGCAATTTGTAGAGAGAGGAGTACTTCGTGATGAGTTCCCACAGAGTAGAGCCCATTGAAACGGTAAATATGGATCCGGGCTTCTCTTCCAGATTCGCTGACGGATCCAGTTTGGCATTCTCTTTCGGCCATTGAGAGCAGTCTAAGTGCAGTCACTTTGGACCCGTCCACCACAGTTTATGAGCACTGAGTTGAGCCATAGTGATGCCCCGAGAAGCACATTCAACAGGATTCTCCTTACTGCTGATGTATCGCCACTTCGCTCCTGGAACCAGTTCCTGTATGCTGGCTACCCTGTTATGCACATATTCCTTCCACTGGGAGGGATGAGAGCTGATCAACGCCAGGGTAACAGCTGAGTCTGTCCACAGGAACACAGGAGCGTTATCAAAGTTGAGTTGAACACGTACATACCTTATGAGTTTTGCCAGCATGACTGCGGCGTTGAGTTCAAGTCTCGGAATGGTGACTTGCTTGAGAGGAGCCACCTTGGTTTTAGCAGTAGTTGAAGAGACACTCACACCATCCGAACTTGTCACCTTCAAATATACCACCGCAGCCATCGCTGTTTGCGATGCGTCTGAGAACCCGTGTATTTCCACCAGAGCATCCTTCTTCACTCCGAGCCAACGAGGAATAGAGATATTTTCGACCTGAGACAGCTCTTTACGGAATTGGGTCCACTTATCCGAAATTTGTGGTGAGAGCGCATCATCCCAGTCCAGCTTCTCAACTCAGAGACGCTGTAGGAGTGCCTTTGCCCTCACGGGAAAAAAATATATGCAAATAATTATACGTGACATATATGTGACATATTGCATTTTTCGCCGAAAATATATCTTGCATATATGTTAGATATATGTCGAATATATATGGGTAATATATATGTGCTCGCATATATTCAGCATATATCTGATGTATTGCATTTTTCGTCGAAATATATGTACATATAATTTACATATATTCCACATATATTCCGTTTTCCGTACGGGTGCCCTAATCACCACAGAAGAAAGCAGCCCCAGGTGGTCGGACAACTGAGCTATCTCAGACAACATATTCCTCTTCGTCACCTTTGAGTTGGCCGGAAGGTGGATTGAGAACTTGAATTGGTCTGTGTTTAGATCCCACTTCAGACCAAGAATCTTCGTGATGGCATCCTCTAGCAGCTTGTGATCCTGAGAGACACTTTCTGGATTCAGAGATCTGAGTAGAGACGGACTATTGCTATGCCACTTTGCTAGACGGAAACCAGCTAATGAGGAAAGTAGTACATAGGAGTTGACGAATGAGCTTGCCTCTGAGCAGAACACCGAGTGGAGACACGAGCCGACTGCTTTTCCTCCGGGACCCTCAACCCTCCTGAAGCCGAAGGCCCATGTGCCAAGGTCATCCCCTCAGATCGACAGCCGAACTTGAACCTTCCGGCGATCCTCGAACCAGTTAAGGCTGGAACACGCACCATCTGCAAGAGGCAGGCGAACCACATAGCGCCCTGAGCTGTCTCGGGAATGGGTGCGCTGGAAAAACTCCTCATATTCTGCCTCTTCTTTCGTGAGATCACTATCTTCGGTTTTTGGGACCTCCTCCTGCAGCCAGAACGAAGTGAGAAGGTCGTAGAGTTCCTCGTTGCTGACTGCAATGTGATTAGAGCTGGCCAGCATTGGAATCACCGCTGAAGTAGGTCCTAGTACCACCCAACCGAAGATAGTGTGCATTGCTATAGGGGAGTCCGAAGGCCCCTTGATGATCTGTGGCTCCACAATTGATCCGAAGAAATCCGCGCCAATGAGAAGGTCAATAGGTCTTGGCTCCATGTATGCCGGATCAGCTAACTTCAGTCCCTCGAGATGGCCCCAAGCTTGAGTATCCTAGACTGAGAACGACGGCAACGATGATGTGAGATGGTCAAGAATGTAGGCCTTAATCTGAACATGTTTGTCTGAGTGCAGAGACTTCAGACAGAACTGAGAGAATTCCTTTGAGAATGACCTTGATCCACCAATATCAACGACAGGTAGCAAAGCTGAAGACTTCAATAAACCTAGCTTTACCGCAAGACTATCTGTAACAAATGATAACTCAGATCCAGGATCCAACAGCATCCTAACTTCACAGCAACGTCCATTCTCTGAAACGAGAGAAGCTAGCGCTGTTGCGAGAAGAACACTTGGTCTGAGTTGAGATGACGATTCATGAACTGATAATGCTACAGATGGAGAATCACTTGACAGCGACGGTCGTAGAGAACGTTCTGAAGTTACCGGAGCCTCTATCGATGAAGTCGTTGGTTGAGAAGATCACTGCTGAACTGATAAAGGCCTCGGACCAGCGGACTGTATAGGACGAGTACCAGACTGAGACCACTGACCTTGAGACTTCAACTGGTCTGGTTGAGATGTCTCGAGAGGACCATTCTGAGGGCGTGTGATGTGGATCATCGAGTGGTGACGCTTGTGACACACAACGCACGTCTTCGTGATCCTACAGGCACGAATGGAGTGCTTCCCCAAACAGTTGAAGCAGAGGTACTTCTTTTCGACGAACTCCTTCCTCTTTTCCGACGACAACTGCTTGAATTTGGGGCACCTATCGATGAAATGCTTATCTTCACACATGGAGCAGGCATTGGCGGTCATGTCTGCCCATGACTGCGAACTCGACCCGCGAGAGTGTGGAACTGCACTGCCAGTTGAGACATCCAGCACCTTTGCTGGCTTTGTTCTGGGTGGTTGAGAGGGGACACTCAAAGTTGGCGTCTTGGGAGCGTGCAGAGGATGCAGCTCAATTCTCTCCTTAGCTCTTGCTCTGCTCAACATGAACTCCCTGAGTTCCGCGTACATTGGAAAGGTGGTGGTGGATCCGATCTTAACTTCCCACGCCTCCAACGTCTTAACATCCAACCGGCTTGAGATGATATGCACCAAGACGTCGTCCCAGTGCTCGACAGGGCGCCCCAACGACTTCAGGGCATTGAGAGCTTCGGTGGTGGAGTTGAGGAGAGCATTAAACTCCTTGGCCGTACGGTTGACGATCCTCGAAGTGGAGAACAACCTTTCCAGCTGGGTAGAGATGAGGAGATGTTCCTTGTCATACCTCGCGATAAACATATCCGAGGCTGGAATGAATGAGTCTTGAGCTACCGGCAGAGTTGAGATCAACTGCTTTGGTTCGCCAGCAAGAGAAGTCAAGAGATAATGGAATTTCTCGACCGTAGAGAGGTTATTGTTGCCGACGACCATCGAGAGGAAAAGATCTTTGAAGGGTGTCCACTCGGAGAAGTCCCCTGAGAAGGTAGGCAGCGAGATGTTCGGTAACTGCCTTTGAGTCACCTGAGCAGATGGAACTGATGCAGCGGGTCGACGAAACGACTCCGAGAGGTCCGCGGTCTCATGAATGGCTTTGATTAACCCTACGAACGACGTACGAACCGTGGAGTACCGCTGCAGACAGATATCGTATACCCCCTGCATCACGTATTCGTGGTCGAGCACCTCCGCGCTATCCTTCCCAGTCAGCAGCCTCACGTACTGGTCCTCGAATTGGCTCCAGTAATTCTCCAGAATATTCAGCTTCGACTGCAACTTCGTGACTGAAAGCTCCTTCACCGTCGCTGACGATGATTCCGTGTAGAGAGACTCAATAAACTTTGCCCTACTGGCTTGAATAAATAATCTCCCTGCGAAAGACATGCTCACCAGATAGCAAATACAAATTCAGCAAGCAGAAAAAGCACCAACCAAAAAAATCGTAGAGAACGCAACAGTGGAGAACAGCATAGCCAATAGCGAACAAAAATTGAAATCAAGCAAAAGCAGCAGCGAAGTTCAGGGAAAATCAATAGAGAAAAATAATAATAATAATAATCGACTTCCCTGTGAGAAGGTCTAAGCAGTGATGAGCGCAGAACTTCAGCAGGCAGCGAGAAGGACGAGGGATCTGCTCCTGAAGTGCTGGAGAAATACGTCACGGAGCCCCAGGTTGAGTGAAACTGACGGATTTGCAATTTTTAGTGGCGCGCACAAATATCAATAGTTCGAGATGAGCACCACTGTACTGCTACGTCACGAAGGACGAGCCGCGTGGGAGGAGTCGATGGGCGGAGTCGGTGGGTGGAGCAAAGGGGGTGGAGCCGACACACAAATTCCCGCGCTTTTCCACCGCCACCACGCGCACTAAAGTTTTACTGAAAAACAATGTCCACTTTTCCCGATTAACCGGTTCGAAGGACCAAATGTTTCGGCGAGAGTTAAACCGAAAAAAACCGATGGAGAGCCGGGATTCGGGAAAAGGATGAGCAGTTCACCAAAATAATGTCTGACACAGTGCGTGTGAAAAGAGTCACAATGAAAACTGTATTTTTTCGTTAAAATACAGAACTCAGTCAAAAAATATTTACAACAAAATAATCACTGTCAACTAATAATTGTGTCGAGACACGCTAGAGATTTTTCACAGTTGAGATGGTCACAAAAATTATAGATTTAATCGCGGAGAGACAGTTGCACGATGCACACTTATCACGAGGCGACTAGAGAAGAAGGCGGAAGTGACGAGATGGGACAAGTATCGCGGCAGGTGTCGTCGGTCCCAATTAATTGGACACGGTCGGTAACCCAGGTCCGTGTCCAGGAGGTGCTGCCGCTCGTGGTCAGCGAACCAACCTGCCGTGACGTCAGGCTGAAGCCTCAACAAGGAATATCCCTCAAATTTTCCGACATTGACCAAGCAATTTGCAGGAATCTGTTTAACACAACAGTCATTTCGAGGACTCATCCAAACCAAACGCTTGGACAGTGACATTATGAATGCTTTCTTTTCCACCTTACAAGAAGTTGCCGCAAGAAATTCTATAAACCTGTTACCGTTCGATACGTATTTTTGTAGTAAATTGTTAATGGCTGAAGTGAGTTTTGGTTTTAAGAGATGGGTCGACAAAGTGAGACCTAGCACGTATGATATTTGGTTGATTCCATTCAATGAAAATGAAAATCATTGGACGGTATTTATGGTACTAGTGCATGCAAAGATTATCGTTCATTTTGATTCACTGCACGGTGAACCTCTTAAAAAATTGATAACCAACATTACAAATTTCATCACGAGGGAGGCTTCATCACGTTTTCGTCGTAAGACAAATAGGCCAATCGAATGAGTGGCAGCTGTATATCCCTCGGGATATTCCAAAGCAGCACAGTATCCCCAATGTTAATGGAAACAATTGCAGAGTACATATATTAATATGGGGATATGCGATTGCAAGTCGCTACACAGAAAGTTTTCCGGAGGAGGATACAAATCGAGCAAGGATTCGAATAGTCTACTACCCTGGCGATCCAAGATCCACGTTACAACCACGGTATGGCGTGGATTTTGCGTGGATGATTGGGATGATCATTTTTGGGTTTAAAAACGGGCAAATGAGATCTAGACATTCAATGAGAATTTATAGACGTGTTGTTTGATCATATTCGGACTGTTTATAACATTGTTTCTTATGAATTTATTGAAAATATGATTGATGTACGGAATGGTAATACTAGATCGTGGGGGAAATGCCGGG